GGACACGTTCTGATGGACACGTTCTGATGGACACGTTCTGATGGACAGGTTCTGATGGACACGTTCTGATGGACAGGTTCTGATGGACAGGTTCTGATGGACAGGTTCTGATGGACACGCTCTGATGGACAGGTTCTGATGGACACGTTCTGATGGTAAATATCCCGTCGGTGGTTCTGAAGCTCGTTTGGAGACTTGTTCCCTGCTCAGTTCAAAAGGATCAACTGAATGATCCGATCCAGTAAAAAGGTCCATTACGACCGTTGCTTTTGAGGAAAAGGTCTCACGGCTGCAGAAGTTTAACTCTGAGAATCACATCTGGATTATATTTAATTGCAGATTAGGTGAAGATGAGATATTTAATTCATGAATGTGTTCATTTAAGTTCTAATTAATTTTGGTACTTTAGGCTGCAACATTTACAAAATGTGTCTCAGGGAAGTTGGTCTCATTTTTAGGACAATTAGAAAAAGTGATTTTTCAGATAAAAAAGGCTCAAATTTTAGTGAGCAAAAAAAAGAAATATTGATAAACTAAAGAATTAAATACAAAAATAAAACAACAGAATAAACAAACATAATATAATGAAAACAAATCCTGAGCATAAACACATTTTATAAAATAAATAAACTTCTTGTAATGATGTCGCGGTGTGTGTTGCACGTGCTCTCTGTCACTTTGTGTCCTGGAAACAAAACCAACATTTTGTCTCGCTTCATCTCGTCACCGTTAACTTTGATTTTGTGTTGAAAAGGTTTAATAACGATATTTATAGAGTTACGAAAGGCGCTAAAGGAAGAAACAAACTAGAAACCTTTGGGCGCATGAGGTAATGTTCTTTATCTGTATTTTGAAACGTCGTTCACGTGTACGTGCTCGCCATCTAGTGGTGCAGCGTGGCTATTACAGCATTTTGTTAGAACGTGGATATAAAAAAACATAAAAATAAGAAAACTAAAAAAGCACAGACAGAGCTTCAGGTTAAGTCAGTGAGTAAATGTGCGATGCTTGAATTTAAACTGAAGGAGAACTTGTTGACTTTTCAGAGTACCTGCTGAGGTTTGTTGGGGAGTAGGTGGGTGTGGGTGGAGGGTAAACCAACACATGAGCAGGAAACCAAACTGAGTCACCTCCAGAACTGACCTTTCTGCCGGAGTCCTTGTGTCCACACTCCCCCTTGTCATACCACCACTTGTTTTTCAACTTGTCTAAGATGGCTTGTTCATTGAGCTTCAGTACTGCTAGGTTTACTGGGATTCTTCAAGAACCAAAGGAAAGGGAGGGGGAAATAACATAAATAACATTATACACCTCCATGTTATCTTATGTTATTGTTTCAGCTGCGCCGACCGCAGCGGCAGTGACTGTGGTGGCGACTGCAACGGTTTGAGCAAAACTGGCGTGAAACATTACAGACGCTCTGTGTGCTAACGAGGAACACCTCAACAACAACAGAAAGAAAAAACAAACAGAAAACAACAACAATCACATGCACAATAAACATGTCAAAGTGATAGGATTTAATACTCCATCTAGCGTGCTGGCCTGACTCCCTACGTGCGAGATGTGTATTACTGTATCACTTTGGGTAACTGGCAAGAGCTGAAACACTCCGGGGTCTTCGGTTTGCTTCATCAGAAGATGACCTGCGGTCCAAAATCACAAGGCAAAACTGCTTTCTGAGGGTTTGGGGGGAGTCTGCCTTTGAGCAAGGAGTCGTCTGATCCAAGGGGTATTTAACCAGGTGAGTTACTGGGTGAGCTGGTTTATTGTTGCTGGGTCAGACCAACCCATATGACCCAACAGCCTCTAGTCAAATTGACCCAGTGGTTCAGCTGAAGGTGAGCCGTGTCATTCTTCAGCCAAATGTTGACCAACTTGGACCTGAATGGACCTCTGCTGCAGGATGGAATATGTTATCCATCCATCCATCCATCCTTCCATTCATCCATCCATCATCCATCCATCCATCCATCCATCCATCCATCCATCCATCCATCCATCCATCCATCCATCCATTTACCATCCATCCATCCATCCATCCATCCATCCATCCATCCATCCATCCATCCATCCATCCATCCATCCATCATCTTTACCCGCTTCTTCCTTTTTGGGTCACTGGTGCCCATATCCAGCTATCACTGTGCAAGAGACGGGGTACACCATGGACATGTCTCCAGTCCATCACAGGGACACATAGAGACAAATGAGACAAACAACCATCTCTCTCTCTCTCTTTCTTTCTTTCTTTCTTTTTGGACCGTGGGAAGAAACTGGAGTACCCGGAGATAACCCACGCAGCACGGAGAGAACATGCAAACTCCACCCAGAAAGGTCCTGGGCAGGGATTTGAACCAGCGATCATCTCGCTGAGAGGCAACAGCTCTACCAAGTGAGCCACCGTGCCGCCCCATGTGTAACTATGTTGGCTTTAATAACTCAAGTTTTCCTGAGACAGTTTGTGTTTCTGAAATAACGAGTTAGCACTAGGTAGCAGATGCTACGTCTGTTGGTGCCATCTAGCTAGCAGCAACCCGAGTGTTAATATCTAATAACTCTGATTTGGGCTGTTTGTTTTGTTTGTTAAATGTTTTAGTAGCAACAAATTAGTCGTTCTAACCCGACTGTCTGTGCAGAGAACTGAACCTGGTTTGCTGAGGTCAAACCACTGGCTCGGTCCACATTTACGTCATAAACTGGTTGTTTTTAAGCCAGCAGGATTTGGTCTGTAGCTTTGCTTCATTTTAACTCTGTCCAGTTCACACATTATACTTTGTTTTTCTGTTGTTACAGGCACTAATTAAAAAGTTCAAATTAACCCTAAAAGTTTTAAGAAACTTTATCTCTAGCTGTGAGCTTTCAGAAACTTTGATAGTCATCAATCAAAGGCAACATGCAGCCATGTCCATTAAGAACGCAACGATCAGTTCAGATTAGGATTGACAAAAACTCTCAGACTGCAGATGAATGTAACGAGCTTTTCCCTGCCCTTCTCTCAGCTGACGCTCACAATCAGGAAGAGCTAACACAACGGGGGAGAGGGCGGGTCCTGGAGGCCATCTTTTCACCAGCACACTGCTGGTTTCCACCATGGGAGTGAGATGTTTGTGGAACTCAGTTTGTTTGGTGGTTCCTCAGATTGAAGAAGTCCTTTGGATGAAGGACGAAACGTATCATCAAAAAAAAAAAAAAAAGAAAGAAAGCTGATCATTGTTGGATTTTGACCTGGATTATTGAGCATGAACTTCGGTCTAACACAACACTGTTGTCAGCTGTTTATCAGAACGTCCTGTACACAACAACTTTGAATTTTTAATAAATAAATTCTGTAACATGAAAAGCTCCTCTGTGTTAAAAAGAAGCCAGAAAACAAACTTCCTGTACAAAATTCAACTTTCACTCTGACTTTTGTGGCGATAAACTCATTTTCTAACTCTGAACATTTGGAGCCCGACGAGGATGTGACTCATGAATTAATCGAGTCTGCGGCTCATTCACCAGCAGCACTTTAGAAACAGAACCCAGCCCGAGGAGGAAAGCACATCAACATTTAATACGACTAAACTCTTAAATTGTTGCTCCCAGGCAAAATCATCAAATCTGCATTCTACGGAAAAAACACAACAATGATAGAAATGGAGGTTTGTTGATTTTGCCTGAGAACAACAACTATCGATGAATACTTGATTAAAAGTATCAAGAAGCTCTTGTAATTAATTTTAATGTTAGCATTAAACAAGATGTTTAATTAGATAAACTAACGTAACGTAGTGGAGATCTTCTTTGTTCCAGTTTTATAAAACTTACAACAAAGTGTTAAACCTAATCAGGTTTACACCAAAACATCTCCTGGTGACCGGGTCAACAAAGACCCCGATGACCTTTTGAATTTTACATTTAATCACTTTATTGTATTTATCTGCTGATCATATGTTCAGGCTTGTTCCTGTTTTTAGTATTTTACATCGTTTTATAATATAGCACTTTTTTATTCTTTTGTTTTATATCACTTCTTTTATTTACTTTTCAGTTTTCATGTTTTTATAAGAATGTTTATTGTTGTTTGTACCTCATTTATGGTTTTTTAAAACAGGTCTCTCTTGTAAATGAGTCCTCGTGACTCAGTGAGACTAACCTGTAGAAAAAAAGGTTGAATGTTACTACGTCTCGTTTTTTACCTGTTGGTTTGCAATGTCAATAGTTTCAAACTATTATTATATGAATATAACACTTCCAACTGCACGCTGTTAGTCTAACAAGTTTGAGTCGGGTCCTCTGGACGGACTCTTGTTTGTTCAAACGTTTCATCTTTTATCCAAAAAACTTCTTTGACTTTAACTTCTTCAGTCAGTGTTTTGACTTCATTAGTCAGACTGAAGTCAAAAGACTTCTAGAAGTCAAAAGACTTCTTGTCTGACTTCTTGACGTCTTCAGTCAGACTGAAGACGTCAAAAACTTCTTTGACTTTGAATTCTTCAGTCAGTCTTTGGACTTCTTGAGTCAGACTGAAGTCAAAAGACTTCTTCAGTCTGACTTCTTGACATCTTCAGTCTGACTGAAGAAGTCAAAAGACTTCTTGTCTGACTTCTTGACGTCTTCAGTCTGACTGAAAAAGTCAAAAACTTCTTTGATTTTGAATTCTTCACTCAGTCTTTGGACTTCTTGAGTCAGACTGAAGTCAAAAGACTTCTTCTGTCAGAGTGAAGATGTCAAAGAAGTCTTTCAACTTCTTCTGTCAGACTGAAGATGTCAAAGAAGTCTTTCAACTTCTTCTGTCAGACTGAAGATGTCAAAGAAGTCTTTCAACTTCTTCAGTCAGACTGAAGAAGACAAAAAAGACGAAACGTTTCAACAATAAAGAATCTGTCCAGATGACCTGACTCAACCCTATTACATTTATCTATCTGGATTATCGAGCCTGCATCAGGACATGTACCAAGATTGAACATTTAGTCTTCAGGTCACTCCATGTTGTTTTAAAACCTGAAATAAAATAACTTTTTAAAAATATATAAATACCCCATGGATCAGCGGGAGGTTAATTTTCCAGATTCTGGTTTAGCACCTGGAGCGTCTCATGCTTGAATAAGAAAGTGTTTTTGTTGATGCCAGTTACCCCGGTGTATCAATACCTATCGTTACCCGTCAGGGTTACGGTGATCTGACCTTGGAGTCACCTCCCCCGATGCCGCACTCTCCCTTGTCATACCACCATCTGTTTTTCAATTTGTCCAACAGGCCCTGCTCGTTCAGTTTTAACACTGCCAAGTTTACAGGGTTTCTACAGGAACAATAGTAACAGTCAGGAATGAACAGGGAACTAGGTGTTAAAACGACTTTCACTGTGAAGACAGTAACATCAGTACATGTGTTCAATGATGGGCATGATGTTAGGCGTGATAAGAATGGTGCATTATGGGTTTGCTGCTCTTCAGTCCAGACATTTAAAGATCTGTACATCACTTTTAGGTAGGTTCAACTTCATGCACTGAAGGCATTTTTTTATTTTTCAAACCGGGGCTAATTATTTGGCCACCAAAGGTTTGGAAATAACTCCAAAAGTCAAAAAGAAATGTGCAAGTCCCACAGCTGAACATCTGGTTCAACGGAGCCCCTGCAACATCCTCACGGTGTTTATTCCACCACCATAGATATTGGTTTGCCAAGGCTGAGTACAGATTCATGCAGTTAGCACATTTTTTTGTGCACACTTGGTCTAGACCACGGTGAGACCTTCACATGCCACTAGAGACTAAGTTCTGAGGTTTGAGCTCAGACCGAGGATCACTAGCATGCTGTACCTCATGCCAAACCTGCAAGCTCACTGTCAGACTTCGTTGAGCCATCAGAGCCAGTTCCCAGGACATCCCAGTTTAAGATGTTGGCAGTCAGAGACTTGTGGAGTGTTGAGTGGGCAGCTAGCCCCAGACCAGAGCCCGACTGAGATCCACATTAAAAAAGCAATCTGTCATCAGACGAGCCCACAGACGAGTTACCCAGACAATGAGAAGGTGAAGGTGGCTGAGAAGTTCTAGGAACATTGCTATACTTCTTCTACATAGTTCAAGTTTACTGCTTTCTCAGCCCATCACCAGAGCCATGACAGAACCACTCTGTGGACCTCACAGGACCTTTCAGCCAGTAGTACTGACGTTGTTCATGTTCAGTTTCTTTATGGGCGATGAGCCAGAACGGCAGGTTTGGCTTGTTGCCCTGATGGTTTGCTCAACGTTTTACCAGAAATTGCATCATCAGCATAAACTAACGAAAGAAATGTAAGGAATAAATCTAGATCATGTGACTTTCAGATGTTAGCAGAACTTGCATTAGTCATTGTTTGTTACAGACAACTGGTAATAACCTCAAATTCCACTTATAAAGGTTTCAAAAACGACAGCCAAAGCATTTGCTCAACCACAAGGCCCGTATAATGAAGCTATGACTTCCATGCAGTGTAGAAATATCCAAGTGATTCTACAGCCAATGGCTCATGGTGCATAAACTTTTACACATTCCATCATTTATGCACAATAGCAGCATTCTCACACCAACCAGCACTTCCTCAAACCAGTTTTTGTCCCAGTTTAGTTTGAACTCCACACTCAGAAGAAGCTGAGGCAGCATCCTGATTCTGAGGCTGCCTGTGATGTGCAAGCTTGAACAAACCTGGACCGAAAAGCATCAAATGAATCTGTAATGAGTGTTTGTGGAGCACACTTGAACTTGCATTCTTCTTCATTCATGACCTGATGAGTAAAGGAGGAACAGCAGTTAAAGGTGTCAGGTTCGAGCTGGTGATTCATACCATGAGACACAGGAAATACAGAAAACTGGTGTTCCTCTTTCCCAAGCAGCGATGGTGGAAGCTGCAGCAGTGATGGATGCTTCCGTTGGATGAGACAATGAGCAGTTTGATGGAACACAAGAGTTTTGTTCTCAAGCACAAACTGCACCACACAACAACAGTGCACGTCTTTAGGTTGTGATGGAAACAAGATGGAAAGAAATGAAGTATTGGACCAATTCAGAAATATCACACTTGGAATAAAAACATGTGCATCAACTTGATTAGTTGTTTTCAAAAAGGCATTTCTGAACAAAACTCTGGAAAAATACACATTTTGGAGCGAAACGGCCTCAAAGTGAAAAAAGAGAAAAATGTTTAAACAGTTTGTGTCATGGTGAAAATCCAAAACAGCTTTTTAAGAACGAGCTTCTACATTTCAGGACAGTTCGACTTTGATCAAGTCCTGAAATTTAACAACTTTACCCTTCGATGAGCAGGAACATGTGACATGTGACTGGCAGGAACATGTGACATGTGACTGTCATTTACTGTATCCATCCATTCATCCATCCATTCATCCAACCATTCATCCATCCATACAACTGCCCATCCATCATCCAACCATCATCCATCCATACAACCATCCATACAACTACCCATCCATCACCCAACCATCATCCATCCATCCATCCATACAACCATCCATCCATCCATACAACCATCCATACAACTACCCATCCATCATCCAACCATCATCCATCCATTAATACAACATCCTTTCATCCATCCATCCATCCATCCATCCATCCATCCATTCATCCAACCATCCATCCATCCATCCATCCATCCATCCATCCATCCACCCATCCATCCATACATACATACAACCATCCATACAACTGTCCATCTATCATCCAATCATCTAACCATCCAACCATGCATGCATCCATCCAACCATCCTCCATCCATTATCCATCCATCCACCCACTCATCTGTCTATCCACCATCCATCCATCATCCATCATCTATGCATCCTCTGTCCATCCATCCATCCATCCATCCATCCAGAGGAAACTCGTTTGGACCGCCTGTATCCACGACTTGGTTCTTTTGGTCTCTACCCAGAGTTCATGACCACAGGTGAAGGTCGGAGCGTAGAGGGACAGGTACGCAGAGCTTCTCCTTGCAGCTCAGCTCCCTCTTCACCCCAGTACAACCGATTTAACGATAACTAAACTAAAACCATGATGGTGCTCACACGTTGCAGATCTGACGTAATGTGCTCTTAATTTGAAGACCCCTAACAACCAGATTGTTCATTTCATTCGTCCTGACTTGTAGAAATAAACCAGGTGTGTTGATTTTTCACCATGACTGCTTCGAGCCAGAACCAGCCGCCGTCCTCCACACAGCCTCTGATGAGTAAAGTTAATTATATGAAACGCTCAGCATTCAAGAGCTTTAACACAACTGTGTTGCCTAGCAACCAATCACTAAATTTGCCTTTTCGAGTTCAAAACGAACGAATGACTTTGTTTTCTGCTGCTGCAGCTCAGACAGAAGAACCGTCTGAGTCACCAGTTTTACAGAAACCTGGGAGTGAATTCTTCAAACGGACGATTAAATGTAATCATTCTCAGACGTGAAGGACCGGTTCAAACGAGCACCAGGCTCCTGCAGGAGGTGATGGCTCTGGCTCGAGTGTGAAGACGTGACGAGAACATCTGATGAAAACAGGAACAGAGAGAACACGAAGAAGAAGAAACACGTTCACAAGCTGCTGTCAGGTAAAGAAATGCAAGCTCCAGATTCAGGCTCTTCTTTTGTAAACCCACACTTAGTTTGTCCTGGGTGATCATGAGTCTGTCTGTTAGCAAAATATCTCACAAACCACTGGACAGATTTTATTAAAACTCAGAACGTTCATGGTTGGGTGTACATCTACCACTCGTGAAGATATGGAATCGACCTGATACAAGATGGCCGCCACAGCCAAGAGACTTCTGCAAACACAAACATATCATGGAGTTAAAGTTTGGAGTGGTAGTAGATGAGTGTCCTCCCTGACACGTACTCTGAGAGCTAACAGGCTGCGTACGATCTGTTGAAACACTTGGACATGAACGTCAGCCTGGAAACAGCTCCATCTTTATAAACTGACGTGTTTTTATCTAAACCTGAAAATAAAAACATTAAATTAAATTTATACGTTTCTAAAACTTTCACTCGGTCACTTTTCAACAACGTTTGAAACAAAAGTATAATTTCTTGAAGGAATGCATATCACCCGCTACCTGAGAGACCAAAGTTAAAACAAACATGCGTCAACGTGCAGAGTACTCAGAATGACTCTCAGCTACTACCACTCTACTACTACTACTACTACTACTACTACTACTACTACTACTACAACTACTACTACTACTACAACAACTACTACTACTACTACTACTACTACTACTACTACTACAACTACTACTACTACTACTACTACTACTACTACTACTACTATTACTACTAATACTACTACTACTACTACTACTACTACTACTACTACCACTCTACTACTACTACTACTACTACTACTACTACTACTACTACTACTACTACTACTACTACTACTACTACTACTGCCCAGTTAATTAAAGACAATTAACATTTGTTCAACCTTTAGTTCTACAGGTTGGTCCCATTGAGCCTCCGGGACTCTCATTTACAAGAGACACCTGATGAAGATTGATTAGCTCTGGTGGCCATCTTGACTCGAGGTGGCTCCATCTGTTGTACACGTGCACCCAGTCATAGCACCTGATGAAGGCAGAGGTGGAGCAGCTGCTCCACCAGCTTCTAACGTCGAGATGTTTGCTCACCCAACAAACAGAATCACTCCCAAACAACAAGACAACTGGAGGCAGAGTTTAATGATTTGAATCTGATGCTCCTAACTACCAACCATCCAACCATTCATCCATCCATCCATCACCCATCCATTTTCCATCCATCCATCATCCATCCATCCATCCAACCATCCATCCATCCATCCATCCATCCATCCGTCCATCCATCCATCCATCCATCCATCCATCCATCCATTCATCCATCATCGAAACATCCATCCATCCATCCATCCAGCCATCCATCACCCATCCATTTTCCATCCATCCATCATCGAAACATCCATCTATCCATCCATCTATCCATCCATCATCCATCCATCCATCCATCCATCCATCCAATTATCATCCATCCATCTGACCATCATCCATTCATCCAAACATCCATTCAACCATCATCCATCCATCCCCATTTCTTCCTTTTCAGGTCGCAGGGGTCACTGGTGCCCATATCCAGCTGTCACTGTGCAGAGGACACCTGGACAGGTCTCCAGTCCATCACAGGGACACAGAGACAAACAACCATTCTCTCTCTCTCTCACCTAGAGACAATTCAGAGTTACCAATCAGTCTAACATGCATGTTTTTGGTCTTTGGGAGGAAACTGGAGTACCCGGAGAAAACCCACGCAGCACGGAGAGAACATGCAAACTCCACCAGGGTAACCTTCTCTCTGAGAGGCAGCAGCTCCACCAATCCACCATCTGCTCCATCTATAAGCTCAAAAATATAATAATGAATTTGGTCCAACTCAGCACTCTGATAGCTACAAGCTCATCAGTTTTGCTGTTTTATATATATATATATATATATATATATATATATATATATATATAT